GCCTAAATCTTTAAAGATAACTACGTAACATTTCTCACAAGAGTCCACTACCTACTTGACGTGACCAGATGTCCCTGTTTACTCGGGACAGTCCCAGTTTTGAGCCTGTGTCCTCTGTCCCAGCAGATTTATACAAAACCACTGATTTGTCCCAGTTTGAAATCCCAGAAATGTCCCAGGTGTCACTATTTTTGACCAATTTGATCCAAACCAGGACTAAACTTAAACTAAAGCAGGACTACATCAGATCTAAAACACGACTAATCAGATCCTCACCATCAGTAAGAAGAAGCATAAATTGATATTTGTTTTGCCAAAATACAGATAATTGTGTTTGAAAATGACAATAAAGCAAAAAAATGCCGCGTCAGAAGTGTGAGAATGTACAATGTTACGCGCTCTTTCACAATCTTATGTATACCAATCATCCCAAACAGGTGTGTCCCAGTTTAAAATTTGGAAATCTGGTCACCCTAATTACGTAGCGTCACATTAGACTTATGAAGTGAATTGTTTGGCTGTGCTGTCATAGTAACAGCATGTCCTTGTGTAATCATAGAACTATCTCTACGCTCTCCACTCAAATCCACCTCCGTCTGGATCACAGTGTGGGACAGTTTCCTGAGGCTACGCTTAAGCGAAGCCTGCGGCAGCCGCCAAACACACGCCACTCCAGGGGCTCCACTTTCACTGTTTATACAGAGGGCCACCCATTCAGGCGAGCTCACGGCGTTACTGCTAAAGCATGGACAGATTCACAACCACATTCTTGTCTGCTTGTCCGTGGACAGGACTGTTTTGTTTCAATTAATCTGGAATAAAATTGGTTTTGTATTACATCAAGGTTTGAGTATTCATAACTTTGATTTCATAATAACTTTTTAATCAAGACTGTTCCGGGAGTTATTTCATTTCAGTTGCTCATTTTAAATGCAAAATCCATTTAAATGAACATCAGAGGTGGAACTTGCAAGTCGTGACTTGGACTCGAATCAGACTTGAGTCAACTTGAGACTTGACTTGATAACATGGACAAAGACTTGGGACTAAACTTGGACTTGAAGGTCAGTGACTTGGGACAAAACTTGGACTTGAGACCTGTGACTTGAGAAGACCTGAGAAGTACTTTGAAGTATCTGAATTTGTTCTATTCTGACTGTAATGATTCTCTCTAAGATCATGTCAAGACATTTAAAAAGGAAAAATTGGATTTCTACAACTCATATACTCTATAAATCCTCATATCTAAATATACTATGATTTTTAAAGTACAATTTAGTTTTAATTGCATATAAATTGCAAAAAATCTAAGCTATATTTGATCCGTTGGTTTAAAGACTTGAAATGACTTGAAGCTCAAAGCAGACGACTTGGACTAGACTTGGACTTATGGGCCATTGACTCGAGACTCGACTTGGACTTGTCTGTATTTGACTTGGACTTGAGGTCAAAGACTTGAGACTTACTTGAGACTTACAAAACAACGACTTGGTCCCACCTCTGATGAACATGCTCATGTAAAATGATAATGGTGAACGATAACTACGTAACATTTCTCACAAGGGGTCCACTACCTACTTTGCCTAGAGTGACCAGACGTCCCTGTTTACCCAGGACAGTCCCAGTTTTGAGTCTGTGTCCCTTGTCCCAGCAAATTTATACAAAACCACTGATTTGTCCCAGTTTTATACAAGAAATGTCCCACGTATCCCTATTTTTGACCAATTTGACACCTGCTGACAGTAAAGAGAGACATACATTGTCGTTTGTTTGGGTAAAATACAGAAAAGCTGCTTAAAAATCAACAAAACACAAAGAAAATGCAACTATACTGACACGTTAGTCGTAAGTAGGCCAAGCGCAGAGTTCCTTAATTACACACTTGTTTTACAATTTTATTATTACCAACCGCCCCAAACCAGGGGTGTCCCAGTTTTTGATTTTGGAAATTTCATCACCCTAACTTTGCCTGGAATGTGCCTCACAGTCAGTGTTGGGAGTAATGCGTCATAAAAGTAACAAATTACTGTTTGCTTTTTGCTGTAACGCAGTAATGTTCGGCATTACAGGGGAAAAAAAAGGTAATATTTTACTCGGTACAAATGTCAGTAACGCGGTTTACAATGCTTTTTTAACCTGGACTGAAGTGGTGGGTTTTTCTTCATACAAATTTGCTAAAATCACTGCGATATCAGCATCAGTGAAACACCAGAGATGCACCCGTGTAGACCGTCAGGTGACCGCGAGCTAAAGGAACTCTACGCTCCACGGGGTGACACGCAGCTGACGCCCAGTCACGCCTTGTAGACACCCTGTTCCATGGACTCAGGGTACTCTCAGGGGCGGTCCGAGATTCCAAGTTCTAGTCCAAGATTAGTCCTGGTTTAGACCTGGTTTAGACCTAGTTTAGTCCTGGCTCAGTTCTGGTTTAGTCCTGGTTTAGTCCTGGTTCAGTCCATATACGGCACAAAAGTTCAGTATCTTCACAGTTATTTTGGTGAGAGTAACTTAAGTAATGCAGTAGTAATGTAATGTCTTACATTTTAAATACAGTAAAATTATAATGTAACGAATTACTTTGAAATGACAGTAATAAGTAGTAAATAATGCATTACAGTTTTAAAGTCACTTGCCCAACAGTGTTCACAATAGCACTTATCTCTCTGACATTTATTCAGTAGAGTTTTTTATTTCTCCAAAATACCTTCAAAAACATGCAGTATTCTCCTCTCCACAGATGTGAGCTGCAACTGAAATGAAATACGTTAATGCCATTGGTAACCAGAGACAAGCAGGTGGCGGACAATCAACCAGAAAAGTTCCATAGTGCACCTTTGTTAAACACCTTCAAATGCAAAGTGAAAGACAGTAGCATCGTACACACGCTCATAAATCAGCATTACGGAAAAAAAAATACCAATTACATTTTTGAACTGATTGTATTACCGAACGTGAGAGCAGTTCTGGGACAAAAAGCCCGGACTTGAGCGTGTCGTGCCTCTCCTTTATTGCTCTCCTAATTTACTATGGGCCAGTGGAACAGCGCTGAGCTCCGATGTTTTCACTGATATTAAATCCGCCCAGTGGGACTGTTGTATCCGTGCGTGTGTGTGTAAAATCCTCTTCAATTTGGCCTCATGAAGCAGCTCGTATTTCATCGTTGGATTGAGAGGGGTGAGAAAGATGACACGAGGCCTAGAAGTGGCTCAGGACACACACACACACACACACACACACACAGGGAAGGTGAAGTATAATTATTGCAATTAGGTGTTTAAATTCAGATTGTGATGCAGATGAACATTTCTTGAGGTGCATTGAAATGTGTTGCCGTTCCACCCGGTTAGTCCATGCTGAGTCCTGATTTAGTCCTGGTTCTGACCTGGTTTATTGCCCTAAGATTCTCCTCTTCTGGTCAAAATGTGAGTCTTCTACAAACTCATCTAGAATTCTGGAAAAACGTGAAACTGACTGCAATCATTTGACGCACAGAGCTGCATTTACTGTACTGTACATCTTGTCCGATTGTCCGCAGTTCAAAGGGGCACTGATTTGGCGCCTGAGGTTGAACGGCGGCGGCGCGGTGCATAGAAACTCTGATTATTTCAGGGGAGATGAACAGGCACAAGAGAAATGTCACTAGTTTTAATCTCACGCAGGTTTGGAGATTGGAAATCGCAAAGAACGTGGAAAATGAAGCGCAAAAACATGACTTTTGAATTGAACCTGGTTTAGGTTACGTCCATATTACACAAAATGGAACCTTGTGAGCTTTAAGTCATGTTAAAATAATGTTACTTCCTGAAAAACATGCCTGGAGTTGTTTTATTTCATTCACACATGTTGGAGTAATATTTTGTCATTAATCTTTCACCATCTCAAGTTGAAAATGTGTGAATGAAACAAAACTCCTGGTGTGAGAAAACAACATCACCACAGAGATAGTGTCAATGAAAATAGTGCATTATGTCACTCTTCTCATATGTGGTATGTGTTTGTCTCCATGGAGATATTATTGCTGTCTTCCACAGTATGGCATTAAACATAGCAATCTTGTATTTATTGAATTACAGATGTTTTTGTTTCTGAATTTACATTGAAATATAGACATTCTTGCTGTGAGTTTGTTCACCTCTCCACAGATCTGACCTTGCCTGATGGCACCACCTGCTTGTCCCCTGAAGACTGTGCTGTTTAGTGCTAAACTGTGTACAAAGTTCCTGGCATTTCGGTAACAAATCCATGGGGACGAGCAGGTGGTAGACCCTCTCCCAGAACAGTTCTATAGTGCATGTTTAAGTTCAAACAGAGCTGCTTTCTCCACGGCAAACAGCAGCAGGAGAAATCCAGTAAGTGTTTCTTTACTCACACAGACTGGGCCATGAATCCAGAGGCGACTATAAGAGAAAGTGACTAGAACAAGCCCATTAGGAAGCTCCGTTTACCTTTGCAGTAAAAAAGTGCTGACCACGAGTGAAGAAGAGGAGGAATGCACGCCTCATCTCCATTTTTCTCAACCTTAACAACTTTTTCTTGTTGGCGCCGACATTCCCTGCAGCCAGTGAATGCACCGCGTCAGGAGAAAAGCTCTGCATTTGCATGAGGGGCTGTTTAGGAGCATGGGGAAATGTCACCGTGAATAGATTAAAGCTTCATTACTTAAAAAACTCACTTCTGTGAGATCCCAGCTGTCACTCCTCACCAAGAAACAGATGTATCTGGAGGGCTGCATTCTGCTCTGTTTGGTCATGTGAGCTTAAAGGTTATTCATAAAGGTTTGCCCAAATATTTATAGCATTCTTAAACTTTGATGAATTTGTATTATTTGTTCATGAATCTACTCCACATCTCATGTAGCTGTATTTAAAATTCCATAAACACGACCTTTCTATCTCCCCAGATATGTTCAAATCACATATGGCTTTTACAGAAAACAGTTCTTGATGTATTCTTAGTTACAAAAACATACTAACATCCTGTTGTGTGTCCCGTGTGTGCAGCAGGGTCAGGTGGACTGCTGGCCCCTGCCCTGTCCCCCTGTGGACTGTGAGTTCACTCTGGTCCCTGAGGGAGAGTGCTGTCCTCGCTGTGTGACCGACCCGTGCCAGGCCGACACCATCCGCAACGACATCACCAAAACCTGCACCGACGAACACCACATCCAGCGCTTCAGCGGATCCTCCTGGATCAAGCACGGGACCGAGTGCACCCTCTGCCAGTGCAAGGTGAGCCACACTGTACCTGTACACACATATATACAACACTATACACACATATATACAACACTATACACACATATATACAACACTACACACATATACACACATATATACAACACTACACACATATATACAACACTATACACACATATATACAACACTACACACACATATATACAACACTATACACACATATATACAACACTACACACACATATATACAACACTATACACACATATATACAACACTACACACACATATATACACACTATACACACATATATACAACACTACATACACACACACACATATATACAACACTATACATATATACAACACTAACACACATATATACAACACTATACACACATATACAACACTATACACACATATATACAACACTATACACACATATATACAACACTACACACACATATATACAACACTACACACACATATATACAACACTATACACACATATATACAACACTATACACACATATATACAACACTATACACACATATATACAACACTATACACACATATATACAACACTATACACACATATATACAACACTACACACACATATATACCACACTATACACACATATATACAACACTATACACACATATATACAACACTATACACACATATATACAACACTACACACACATATATACAACACTATACACACATATATACAACACTACACACACATATATACAACACTACACACATATATACAACACTACACACACATATATACAACACTACACACACATATATACAAACACTACACACCACATATATATACACACTATACACACATATATACAACACTACACACACATATATACAACACTACACACACATATATACAACACTACACACACATATATACAACTATACACACACAACACTACACACACATATATACAACAACTATACAACATATATACAACACTACACACACACATATATACAACACTACACACACATATATACAACACTACACACACAATATACAACACTACACACATATATACAACACTATACACACATATATACAACACTACACACACATATATACAACACTATACACACATATATACAACACTATACACACATATATACAACACTACACACACATATATACAACACTATATACCACACTATACACACATATACAACACTACACACATATATACACACTATACACACATATACTACAACACACATATATACAACACTACACACATATATACAACACTACACACACATATATACAACACTATACACACAATATACACACTATACACACATATATACACACTATACACCACATATATACAACACTATACACACATATACAACACATATACACACATATATACAACACTACACACAATATATACACACTACACATATATACCACACTATACACTCATATATACAACACTATACACACATATATACAACACTACACACACATATATACAACACTATACACACATATATACAACACTACACACACATATATACAACACTACACACACATATATACAACACTACACACACATATACAACACTACACACACATATACACACATATATACAACACTACACACACTATATACACCACATACACACATATATAACAACACATATACACACACATATATACACTATACACACATATACACCTATACACACATATACAACATACACACACATATATACAACACTATACACACATATATACAACACTACACAACACCACACATATATACAACACTATACACACATATACAACATACACACACATATATACAACACTACACACACATATATACAACACTATACACACATATATAACAACACATACACACACATATTATACAACACATATACATATACAACACTAACACACATATATACAACACTACACACACATATACAACACTATACACACATATACAACACTACACACACATATATACAACACTATACACACATATATACAACACTATACACACATATATACAACACTACACACATATATACAACATACACACATATATACAACACTACACACATATATACACACTATACACATATATACACACTACACACACATATATATCATATATACAACACTACACACATATATACAACACACTATAACACATATATACAACACTACACACACATATATACAACACTACACACTATACACATATATACACTACAACTATACACACATATATACAACACACACACACATATATACAACACTATACACACATATACAACACTACACACACATATATACAACACTACACACACATATATACACACTACACAATATACCAATATACAACACTATATACACACTATACACACATATATACAACCACTACACACCACATATATACAACACTATACACACATATACAACACTATAACACACATATATACAACACTTACACACACAATATATACACATACACACACACATATATACAACACTACACACACATATATACAACTTACACACACATATACAACACTATACACACATATATACAACACTATACACACATATATACAACACTACACACACAACACTATATATACAACACTATACACACATATATACAACACTACACACAATATATACAACACTATACAACACATATATACAACATATACACACTATACACACATATACACACTACACACACATATACACACTACAACACACTATACACACATATATACAACACTACACACACATATATACCAACACATACACACATATATACACACACTACCACACAATATACAACACTATACACACATATATACAACACTACACACAACATATATACAACACTATACACACATATATACAACACTACACACACATATATACAACCACTATACACTACAACACTACACACACATATATACAAACACTACACAACATATATACACACTATACACACATATATACCACACTATACACACATATATACAACACTATACACACATATATACAACACTATACAACACATATATACAACACTACACACACCATATATACAACACTATATACACACATATATACAACACTACACACACATATATATACAACACTATACACACATATATACAACACTACACACACATATATACAAACTACACACATATATACACACTACATATATACAACACATACACACACATATATATCACACTATACACATATATACACACTATACACACATATATACAACACTATACACACATATATACAACACATATACACACATATATACAAACACTACACACACATATATACAACACTATACACACATATATACAACACTATATATACACACTATACACACATATACAACACTACTATACACACACATATATACAACACTACACACACATACATATACACACTATACACATATACAACACTATATACACACATATATACACACACACACACATATATACAACACAACACACATATATACACACTATACACACATATATACAACACTATACACACATATATACAACACTATACACACACATATATACAACACTATACACACATATATACACATATACACACATATACAACACTATACACACATATATACAACACTATACAACACATATACAACACTACAACACACATATATACAACACTATACACACAATATATACAACACTACATATATACACACTATACACACATATATACACACACACATACAACACACACACTATATAACAACACTATACACACACATATATATCACACTATACACACACACATATATACACACTACACACACATATATACAACACTACACACACATATATACAACACTACACACACATATATACAACACTATACACACATATATACAACACTATACACACATATATACACACACTATACACACATATATACACCACTATACACACATATATACAACACACACACACATATACCACACATATACACACATATACAACACTATACACACATATATACAACACTACACACACATAATATACAACACTATACACACATATATATACAACACTATACACACATATATACCACACTATACACACATATATACAACAACTAATACACCACATATATACAACACTATACACACATATATACAACACTATACACACATATATACAACACTATACACACATATATACAACACTACCCCAGTATTCAACACAGAACACTGTCAGGTCTATAGGGAGTGTACCCTGTGCCAGTGCAAGGTGAGCCACACTACACTCGTGTGCACACATATATACCACAGAGTGTTCCAGAACTTGGGTCCCCCCTGGTTTTTTAAGTCTTGTTTTAGGCCCCACGAGCTGGAACTGGCCCTCGGACCTCAAAGCACGTGCTGGGATGTAAATTTGGAGGAGGGCTGAGACGTATTGTGGGGCCAATCCATTGAAAGCTTAGCCAGTATACACACATATATACCACACTACACCAGTATACACACATATATACCCCACTACACCAGTATACACACATATATACCACACTACACCAGTATACACACATATATACACCACATACACACATATATACCACACTACACCAGTATACACACATATATACCCCACTACACCAGTATACACACATATATACCCCACTACACCAATATACACACATATACACACATATATACCACCACTACACCAGTATACACACATATATACCACACTACACCAGTATACACACATATATACCCCACTACACCAGTATACACACAATATATATAACCCCACTACATATACACAATATACAACATATATACACCCCACTTACACCAGTATACACACATATATACCCCACTACACAGTATACACACCCATATACCATACACCCACAAATATATTACCCCACACACCATATATACACACCAGTATACCA